GAAAAGACTCCATCACCTTTCGTCTGGAGCCTCGACTTTGGAACAGCTACAGGGACCCGCCTGAGGATCTGCGGCTGCGGGAGGCTCATACGAGGTTAAAGTTCTGAAATGTAACTTAGTGCAAGACCTAAATCAGCTTTAAAAGTGATCAGTAAAATCTTAAAATCAATTCTAAAACACACAGGCGGTCAGTGAAGGGAAGTAAAACAGGATCATGTGTTGATGTCTGTTAAACCCAGTGAGGAGTTGGAGACGGGAGATGGATTTGGAGTCAAGACCGGAGAGGAGATGAGTGAGTTGCAATAGTCTAGACAGAACAAGATGAGCGCGTGGACGACTTTTTCAAGATCAGGGCAGGAGAGAATATATTTGATTTTGCTAATTGTGCAGAGGTGGAGAAACAGCTATACACTCTCATTAGAGTCGTTTGGATATTTTCAGCCCTGGAATTCCCTGTCTCTGTTGAATTAAAGGTAAAAGGAGCTGTTAACTTGAAAACTACCACTTCATTTCATGACTTCACAAGGTGGAACAGAGCATTTTGACCTTTGACCATGTGGACAGACTAATAAATGAAACAAAACACAACTAACAATAACATTATACATGACTTAAAGGTTGTATAGAGGATTTTTAAAGGGAAAAGAAATACAGTGACAGTCCTTTTTCAAATGTTGTGCCTGCGTGACACCACCTCCCTCCTCCACAGCTCCCTCAGTAGAAACATCTCCTCCCGCCTCTTCACCCTAGAAATCACACGTGTTTACAGCCAGTGCGTGTTCAGAGTTACTGTCGAAGTGACCTGTCTAGAAATAATTTAGCATCTTCAGTTTTTAGACCCTTCGTCTGCTTCATTCACGCCATCGCTGGAAGAGATCTCCAAGAATCGTCTCCATTTGGTTTCGGTCCTTTTCCCCTTCTCTTCTTTTTTCAGCGAACTCAAAAACGGACTTTCTTTTGCAGCAAACTGGTCGTGGATTCTAGTTCGCCATCACAATAAACTTTGTGCAAATTACAAGGAAGCTACAGTTTTAAAAAGCCTCTATGAAGCGCTGCATAAACCATGTAATCCCTGTGCGCCGGCGAGTCAGTTACACAGTAAACGTAGGGAGTTTGATTGACAACCTAACAGCCAATAGAAAATGAGGCAGCCTCGTTTTCTATTGGCTGATGTTTATCTGGCCTCAACACGTCCACAGTTGATAGATTTTCATTCTTTTTTTTTTTGTTTGGTCATCATAATTACAAAGCTGCTGCGTCTCTGTAAAGGTATTTTAAACTTTCATTGACAATTTGAAACAAAAAAAAATGAATAAATCCTCCATACAACCTTTAAAGCTCTCAAGAGTCAATTTTGTGTAATATAGGACCTTTAAGTGGGATCCCAGTAAATAAATAACAATACAAAATCTGCTGTATTCCAAGAAAGATTATTATTAGTACCGTACGCAAAAAGAAATCTAAAAACTCTTCAGAGCGTAAACAGCTTGTCCTCGAAAACTTTCTCAGACTCACATTAGGCAGACATTACATTTACTGTAAGAAGAATTACTCATGGATTTGTAATTAAACGCGTTATGAAAGTTACAAAAGTTTATTCAAGGAAAGTGCAACAAAACACAGCAGACTCCGGCTAATGAGCTGTACAGAATCATTATGTCTTTCTTAAAACGCTGCTCAAACACTGGGACAAAACACAGACGTAAAAGCACAAAGCAGAGAGAGGAAGTACTGTGGGCAGAAGCAGAGGGCGCTTTTATTCACACAATTTAAGTACAAGATTATACAAAACTGTAGACTATAAATCCATATTTTTAGTGGCTGTACTGGATAGTTTTTGTGTAATAAAGTCACATTTGTTTTCCTTCAGTACAGATGTATTGTAAAAGCATCTCTTAGGGTCAAAATGATACTAATGTTTGAATCTAATTAGAGCTTTTTTTGGTTTGTTTTTGTTATCGTGCGCAATCCAGGAAGTAAGGGTGATGCACTGTTAGCATGCTAGTTGATGTTAGTGTCACCGTAATGGCAAAACTCAGCTCTGGTCTCTTGAGATTGTGAAAAGTGTTTTTAAACTCATCGCAGAGAATAATTAGACTAAGTTTGAACCACTACAGCTGTGTTTTTCAAGCTTAAGCATAAAAAGCATAAAAAAATATTTTTAAATAAATAAAATAAATAAATGAGTCACACGAGAGAATCAATAGAAAACCCACGTATGACTCCTACAACTGCACTTCTCCGGGTGGGTGGAGAGTCCCCGCCTCAAGTGGAGGAGTTCAAGTATCTTGGAGTCTTGTTCTCGAGTGAGGGGAGGATGGAGCGTGAGATTGACAGGTGGATCGGTGCAGCGTCGGCAGTGTTGCAGTCGCTGTATCAGACCTTTGTGGTGAAGAGGGAGCTGAGCCGAAAGGCAAAGCTCTCGATTTACTGGTCAATCTTCGTTCCTACCCTCACCTATGATCATGAGCTCTGGGTAATGACCGAAAGGACGAGATCGCGGATACAAGCGGTCAAAATGAGTTTCCTCTGTAGGATGGCTGGGCGCTCCCTTAGAAATAGGGTGAGGAGCTCGGAGTAGAGTCGCTGCTCCTCAACGTCGAGAGGAGCAGCTGAGGTGGCTCGGGTATCTGTTCCGGATGCCTCCTGAGAGTCTCCCTTGGGAAATGTTCCGGACATGTCCCACCGGAAGTAGCCCCCAGGGAAGACCCAGGACACACTGGAGGGACTTTGTCTCTGGGCTGGCCTGGGAACGCCTTGGGGTCCCCTTGGAGGAGGTGGAGGACGTGTCTGGGGTGAAGGAAGTCTGGGAGTCACTGCTTAGACTGCTGCACCCGTGACCCAACCCCGGATAAGCAAAAGAAAATGGATGGTTGTAACTTAAAGGTCCTATGCAGCCAGAGAATAGAAGGGAAGTAAAACAGGGTCATGTGTCAATGTTTGTTAAACCCAGTGAGGAGTTGGAGACGGGAGATGGATTTGAAATCAAGGCTGAAGAAAAGGGAGTTGGAATAGTCTAGACGGGATGAGATAAGCGTGTGGATGACTTTTTCAAGATCAGGGCGGGACAGGATACTTTTGAATTTGCTCATTGTGCAGAGGTGGAGAAAACAGCTACACACCTTTATTAGAGTCGTTTGGATATTTTCAGCCCTGGAATTCTCTGTCTCTGTCACTTCATGATATCTCAAGGTGGAACAGAGTATTAAGTTACAATAACTTAAAGGTCCTATCACGCAAATTTTCCTCTTGTTATAATGCAGTTATGTCCTCAAAAACAGACCTTTTGTTTCATGCACATATGTTTAAGTAATCCTTTATTATTGTGATGCTATGAAGTGGTAGTTTTCAAGTTAACAGCTCCTTTTACCTTTTGTTTAGTAGAGATTGGCATTTCCAAAACACAACTCCAGGTCTGTTTTTGACAAAGAAACAACATTATAACAGATCAGAAAATAGCGTTATACGGACCCTTTAAAAAGAACACACACAACCTTTATAAGCAATACAATAATACTAACTGTGACATTCTAAAACTGCTATTGCAAATTAAAACTTCATAAAAAGGCCAGCCAAGCATTGTCGGTGAGTTTCCAAGTCTGACATAATAATAAAAGTGTCAAACATAGCAGACAAAATGGCCGCCAGCACAGCAGGATGTAATGCATTTTAAAGAGGTTTTAAAGAGACAATCATTTGAGATGGGCCACTTTGTCATCAGCGCTGGATCTGGTAATTGCAGCTCAAGTTAAAAACAGAAATCAATATGTAATAGAGGGATAAAACAAAGAGTGAACACTACATAAAATTAAAATGAATCCTGCGCTCACAACAAGATTTAAAATGAGATACGTTTAAAAACAGCTCACAAACTGGAGACATATAGAGAAGTGACGTTTAAGACATAAGTGACATTTTGCGCAAAGAAAATGACACTATCTCAACATTACATAACGTACATAACATTAATAAAAGGGGCAACAGTCATCTGAGAAGGAGAAACGTAATGGGGATAGTAAAAATAGCTGTAATAGTAGTAGTAGTAGAAGTAGTATAATAGTGATAATAATAATAATAATAATAATGCATCATTTTTATATAGCCCTTTTCTGGACACTCAAAGATGCTTTAAAGAGCATTATTCATTCACTCCACACTCCACCTCCCCGACCACCACTATCACTACACTTCCTACTGTGGGTGAAGTGTCTTGCCTAAGGACACAATGACATTCCTTTGTGAATGGCGGCCCCCTGTGGCACCTGATTTTCCCAGCGGTCTCCCATCCAAGTACTAACCAGGCCCGGCCCTGCTGAGCTCCTGAGTAGAGATCTGCGCGGGACAGAATTTTCACTCCTGCTCCCACCCGCACTGTGCAGTCCTGCTCCTGCCCATTTCAGCAAAAAATTGTAATTTTCATTCCCGTTCCCGCCCACATCTGTGATACTTTGTCCAGCTCTCGCCCACAAATCCCGCAGGATGGGGATGTTCGCTTTCTTAAGCTCTATCAAACATGGACAAGTGGAAAGGAATTGTTTAAAATGTGCGTGAGATAAGACCACATATGTAAACTTGGGCTGCTTAAAATGTTTTGATTCATGCCAAATAAAATATCCAGCACAAATGATGTATGATGGGCAAACATCTTTACACTCATATGGGTGACTGCAGTTTATCCTCCCACCCGCCCGCTCCAGCATTGTGCAGTCCCGCTCCAAACCACAATGAGCTTTGAAAATGTGTCTTGCGTCGCACTATTTTGCGTCGGGTCCTGCGGGAGTGCAGGGCTCTACTTCTGAGATGTGACAGGATCAGGCTCCGATGAGCCGGTATAGCCACTGTAGTAACAGTAGCAGCAGTGGGAGCAATACTAGTTGTGGTAGAAGCTACCAGAATCTAATTTTTTTCACTTTATATATTCCAAATCTTTGTTATAATAATAAAAAAAAAGTATATGCAAAACTAAAATTAAATAAATAAATAAATAAATATATGCTCACAGAGTTTGGCGTAGCTCTGGCGTGTCCCTCGACGTTCCGAGCGACTGCAGATTCTTCTCCAGTGAGACGACTGGAGAAACACCAGAGTGACACAAACATTAATGAAAGACAAAACTCTCATTTACTCTGTCACCAACGCACACGACGACATCACATCTTATCACAAGAGCTGTGCACGCAAAACTGTCCAAACTTTTACTGGGTTTTATATGAGTCAGCTGAATATGAAACCAGCTCCTCAACTCATTATGGATCCAGTTACTCCTACAGAACAGTATGTGTGAAATGTTTGGGATCGCCTCTCCACAGATTCGACCTGTGTCTTAGCCTACTAGTTTACCTGGAACATTTCACCACAAAGTCAATGTACTTTTAAGTTTAATCATGTCTCTGTGGTCTTTCACAATTCTTTTGATAAATACATTTTTCCACCACTCCATCCCGAATGTGTTTTCTAATTACTTACCACTGCTTGCTGAGTACATGGAAACAAAAGTCAAAAGTATTTTCTTTTTCTTTTGATTTGATAACTGAGACTAGGCCTGTCACCATAACATTTTTTGAAGTATGTTTGAAGTAAATATAGACGATAAATGATCATACTGAAACCAAACCATAAAGCATCATTATCCCCCCAAAAATACTCTAAATGTACAATAAATTAATTAATTAATTAATTTAAAAAAACCAAAAAAAACATGAGCTGCAATTACTAAATAGCAGAATGCTTTTAGTACTTAGTTTGTATCTATAATGAGGCATACAAGTTATTAATTAATTATTTAATTTATTAATACATTTTATTTATTCCTTCTACAGCTCCTATATAGGCCTTCTTTCATTTTTTTTTTTTTTTTTTTTTTTTTTTTTTTTTTATCATTTAAAGGTACATTGTGTAACTTTTCTGGTGGAGGGTCCATCACCTGCTTGTTTCTCTGGACATGTCATTGCTCTGCTTTGAATGTTTCACAGTATGACATTAAATAACTTTATCTTATATTTATTACATTTTATAGCTCAAAAATACCCTCTCCCTTCCTGATTTGGAGTCCAATAAAATAGCAAGGTTTAATACCATACTGTGGAAAATTCCAGAAAAAAAACAACAACAAATAAATAAATAAATACAAATAAATAAATAAATAAATAAAATCTCCATGAAAAAATAAATAAATAAACAAAAGCATTTGACGGACCCAATTTACAGTTGTTGTTTTTTGTTTTGTTTTTTTAAGTTTATCTGTGGACCTACATGTCAAAAATGAATTATAATCTGTCCAGCCATGCGACAGTGAACCATATTTCTGCTCCTTAACGTGGGTTTTCGCAGATCCGAGCTGGAGCAGCAGAAGATTTGGCTCCGATCTGACGGGAATCGGTTTTCACTAGAAAAGGACTTGATTCTTGGAGCTGGATTTGACCTGAGCGGCTCCTCAAAGCTCAGAGCAGACGCACAAACTGCACAGAGCCGAACACAGACGCTCGTTGTTCTTATTGATACATCGTGTCTCTGTGTGTATTTACCGTTGGCGTTGATCTGGAAGATATTGGACGAGGTCTCCTGGAACACATCCTGCAGCTCCGTGGCGCTCACCTGTGTGGCTGAAGACGACAAGACGAAGAAAAAAACACGACGTCAGTAAACAGGGAGCACACCAGAGGAGCACAGAGATGAAGAGAGGGAGGGAGAGAGAGAGACAAAGACAAAACAAAAGAGAAAGACAAGAGAGAGACATGAGTAAAAGAGAGGATTCCACTATAGCAGATCAGTGGAGCAGACATAAACAGGGAGGAAAAGAGACAGAGTAACAAGAAAGAGGGGAGAGAGAGTAAAAGAGAAAATGGAGAGAGGGAGAGAGAGAGAGAGAGAAGAGAGGGAGAGAGACAGAAAAAGTCTGTAAAAGAGAAAGCAAGAGAGAGAGAGAGAGAAGTGGAGCAGAGACAGAGAGAGAGGAGAGAGAGAAAGAGAGAGAAAGAGAGAGACAGAGAGAGAGAGAGAGAGAGAGTAAAAGAGAGAAGAGAGAGAGAGAGAGAGAGAGAGAGAGAGAGAAGAGAGAGACAGAGAAAGAGAGAGAGAAAAGAGAGAAAGACAGAAAGAGGAGAGAGGAAGAGAGAGAGAGAGAGAGAGAGAGAGAGAGAGAGAGAGAAGAGAGAGTAAGAAGAGAGAGAAGAGAGAGAGAGAGAAACAGAGAAAGAGGAGAGAGAGAGAAAAAGAGAAAGAGGAAGAGGAGAGAAAGAGAAGAGAGAGAGAGAGACTGACAGAAAAAGTGCATAAAAGTGAGAAGCAAACTCTACTAGCAGACGAGTGGAGCAGAGGAGAGACAGAAAAGAAAAGGAGAGAGAGAGAAAGAGAGAAGAAGAAAGACAGAGAAAGAGAAGAGTAGAGAGAGAGAAGAGAGAAAGAGAGAGAAAAGAGAAAGAGAAAAGAAGAAAGAAGAGAGAGAGAGAAAGACAGAAAAGAGAAAGAAGAGAAAAGAGTGAAGAAGAGAAATAGACAGAGAAAAGAGAGAGAAGGGAAGAGAAAGAGAAGAGAGAGAGAGAGAGAGAGAGAAAAAGAAAAGAGAAAGAGGGAAATGAGAGAGTAAGTGAGAGACGAGAGAGAGAGAGAGAGAAGAAAAGAGGAAGAGAAGGGGGAGAGAAGAGAAAGAGAGAAGAGAGAGAACAAAGGGAGGAGGAGTAAGAGGAGAGAGAAGAAGAAGAGTAAGAGAGAAAAGAGGAGAGATAGAGAGAAGAAAGTGAAGAGAGTAAAGAGAAAAGGGGAGAGAAGAGAGAGAGAAAGGAGAAAGAGGAGAGAAGGAGAAGAGAGAGAAGAGAGAGAGAGAGGAGAGAGAGAGTCGAAAGAGACAGAGAGAGAGAAAAGAGTAAAAGAGACTACTAGTAGACTCCACTCGCAGGCCCGAGAAAGAGAGAAAGAATGAATGAGAATGAGGCATAGGAAAAAAAAAAAAATAAACTAGACAGAGAGGGAGTCAAAATGAGAGACAGAAAAAGAGAAAGATAGAAAAGATGGAGGATAAAGAGAAAGAAATAAAAACAGAGCGTGAGATCAAAAAGAGATAGGAGAACACAGCACATAAGCAAACATGTTTCAGTCCAGTGGAGCAGATCCAGACCGAAGGAGAGAGAAACGAAGGTGAGAACGAAAGAAAACACAGACGAAGAGAGAGAGAGAGAAAGAGAGGACCACATAGCCCTCCTCCCTCCATCCCTCCATCCCTCCATACCGGGGGGAGGGTGTCTGTACAGTGTCTATCTCTTGTTTGCCTGTTTCTCCGTGTGTTTGACCATCTCCCTCCATCTCCGAAAGGTCAGGGAGGTGCAGAGAAGCAAGTGCAGTGTTTTCTTGTGGGAATCTGGCTTCAATCTGAGCGTGACGGAGCTGGACACTAGATTTTCGGTTCAGATTTTGACGCACTCCGTGGTCAGTTGTGGTCAATAACGAAGTGTTTCTTGACAATCGAAGGTCCTATATTGGGCAAAATTGACTCGTTTTGAGGTTTTAGACGTGTTATAATGCCGTGACCTGCTCCAAAACAGACCCGGAGTTGTGTTTTGGTTTATTCACACGTGTTTATTATTCGTCTGTCTACATCTCCAAAGCTAAAAAAAAATACCCTGTTCATGCTCTGTTCCACCTTGTGATGTCATGAAGCGGTAGATTTCAAGTTAGCAGCTTCCTTTTACTTTTTGTTCAGTAAAAATTGGCAATTCCAGGGCTGAAATCTTCCAAATGATTCTAGTTTGGAGTTTAAAAACACAGTGGAGCACTTCCTGTATTACCACATGACATCACAAGGTGGAACATAGTGTATAAATATGCAGGATTGATGTGAATGAAACAAATCCAGATATGTTTTTGAGCAGGACACATTATAACACGGATCAGAAAATAGTGGAATCTGTGCGCTTTAACTGAATGAAGTGTCATCGTTGTATTGCAGTAAAATAAAAGTAAACATATATTTGGTATATTTAGTATAAAAACTAGAAATAAATGTCCAGAAATTTCAAGAAGAGACAAGTTCCACCAATGTTCTTTCACTTACAATACATTGCCCAGACTTGTACTGCAAAATGTAGTTATGAAACTGTGTGGTTTTTTTTTTCTTTTTTTAAGACCCCACGAGATTTGAATGGAGAAAAGCCAGCAACAAAAGCAATAAATGAAAAAAATACAGCCCACAGACGTCATAGTAGCAGCAGTAGTAGTTGCAATAGGTAGTAGTAGTAGTAGTAGTAGTAGTAGTAGTAGTAGTAGCAGTAGTCGTCTAAGTAAAGCATTAGAACATTAGCAGAAGTGGCAACAGTGGTCTGCAAAAAAAAAAATATATATAGTAGTAGTAGTATTACTAGTGGTAGCAGTCTTTGTTAAAATACATTCATTAAAGTGTAATAGTAATAATTCAATAGTAGTGGAAGTAGTTGCAGTATTAGTAGCAGTTGTTAAAATAAAGTATCAGTAAAAGAGGTACCAGTCTGAAAAAAGCTATGGAAAAAATTGTATTAGTAGCAGTAGTAGTGGTAGTAGTAGTAGTAGTAGTTGCGGTAATAGTGGTAGAAGTAGGAGCACTTGTAGTCACAGTAGGTAGTAGTACTAGTAGTCCAAGTAAAACAACGGTGGCAACAGTAGCCTGGAAAAAATTTAATAATATAAAATAAATAAATTAGTTGTATTACTGGTACTAGCTGTAGTATTAGTAGTAGTAGCTATCATTGTTAAAATACCATCATTAAAGTGGAATAATAATAATATACTATTAGTAGAAGTAGTAGTGGTAGTAGTGGTAGTAGCAGCAGTATTATTAGTAGTTGTTGTTCATGTAAAGTATCAGTAAAAGTGGTAACAGTATTCTGAAAAAGACATGGAAAAGGTGTTGTAGTAGCAGTAGCAGTAGTTAGAGAAATGAAAAAAAAAGTCAGTAGTAGCAGTAGTAGAAGCAATAATAGTGGTAGTAGTAGATTTTCAAGTAGAGATTCAGTAAAAGTGGCGACATTAGTCTGAAAAAGAAATAGTAAAAGTCATAGTAGCAGAAGTAGTAAATGCAGTTATAATGGTAGTCGTAGTAAAGTCAAGTCAAGTATCAGTAAAAGTGGCAACATTAGTCTGAAAAATAAATTGAGAAAGTCATAGTAGTAGCAGCAGGAGATGCAGTAATAGTGATAGTAGTTGTTGTTCACATAAAGTATCAGTAAAAGTGGTAACACTAGTCTGAAAAAGACATAGAAAAGTTCCAGTAGTAGAAATAGCAGTAGTAGTAGTAGTAGTATTTGGAAACATTTAAAAAGTCATAGTAGTAGCAGTAGTAGATGCAGTAATCGTGGTAGTAGTAGTAGTATTTTTTCAAGTAGAGATTCAGTAAAAGTGGCAACCGTAGTCTGAAAAAGTTGTGGAAAAAGTAATGGCAGCAGTAGTAGTTGTTCAAGTTCAAGAGTAGTATCAGTAAAAGTAGAAACATTAAACTTAAACTTACAAACTTTATTGATCCACAAGGGAAATTACTTGGACAAAGTAGCTCACACATCACGATAAAATATAATAACAAAGACTAAAACATATGAATAGTAATAATACTTTCTTCAATTGTCTGAAAAAGTCCTGGAGTAAGCAGCGACAGTAGTAGTTGTGTAAGTACTTGTACTCGCCGACACGACGCGCACGTACAAAAATAGGGTTAAGTGATTTTGCCCGCTCTCCCGCTGTAAGTTGTAGTCGTCATTCTATTTAAATAAGCCATTTGCAATTTGATGATTCCGCGGACGGCCTGTGCCTGCATATCTAATGGAACTATTCAGTGTTGAAAGGTGGCATTTGAGTGATTTTTACTATTGCAAATGAATGGGCCGTTTCTGTATGGGAGGAGATAGGGATTTTATTAGCATTCACTGCCCATAGCAACCGCAATTAAAACGGAGCACAGATGTTAAAGGCAATGCTGGAAATGTAAGGACTTTCTATAATGGGGAGAATAAAGCCACGTTAATTAGCGGCCTGGGCATAAAACACAGGTAATTGAAGAGTTAATTAAAATACATTTAGCAAGAATAGACATCTTTAGAGCGACTATTATCGAAGAGTTGCTGGCTCAATTGCTGCCTCGGTGGCTACTTTTGTTCTTAGGCAAGACACTAAACCTGTATTGGGTTGGAAAAATATATTGATACTGAAAAGAAAGGTCAAAAATGAATTAAATATTTATACGGCGACAGCTCGGTTGGTGGAGTGGAGGGAGCTCTCCACGTAAAACAGCACTGGTTGAGCGTCAGATTCAGTGACGCGGAGGTTAGTGGTGTGATTCCAGCTCCCACGGATGAATGCTGTTGTTGTGTCTATGGGCAAGACACTTAACCCACCTCGCCCCCAGTGTCTGTGTATGAATGTATGTGCAAATGCCTTGGACGTGGAAAAGTGCTGTGCAGAATTATGACCATTTACCAAAAGGTTTTTCAGTATTATGAACCAGTTGCAGCATGGCTGGTAATATATATATATATATATATATATATATATATATATATATATATAATATAAGGTATATATATATATATATATATATAAGGTATAAATATAAAAGAATAAAGAATAAAGATAAAATAAAATAAAC